AGAATTACGTATGAAGACAACTTGAGATTTCATTTTCCTGATGATGCTTCAAAATAAATCCTACTTTATTTGTTCATACTAATGCAACTAAATTTTGTTGATTAATGCGGTCGTCTTTCAACTTCGATCTTCAAATATTTTATCTTAGTCTGACTTTTGAAACCGCTAAATGCTGAAGACGATTAAATTATGAATCATTTTGAACACGGGTTAATTTCATGTGACCATTTGTATTTTTTTCTTACTTCCAAAGCAGGAAACAACTTCTACTTCTTCAGCTTGTTCATTTTACAAACCTGAAAGTTTTTGAAATATATTTTGTGATAGAAAAGACATTGTTATGTATTAGTAATCCATTAACTTGGCTCAGTCCAGCACAATATTATTTCTACCAATCTGTCTGGTTGATCGTGATTCATAATTATTTGAAATTTTTTATTTTCAATCTCTCTTACAGCTTTCCCATAATCATGAAAATGTATTTTTTACTGCATACCAAACACTGACTGTTTCGATCAAAAAATCACTTTTGTTTTTTAGTCAAGCAATCTTAAATCACCTGTATTTTGTTATTAACCTTAAGTGTTAATCTTTACTTTGCACCTTACTTTATCTTGATTCTGGTTTTTTAAATTTCATTTCCAGTTTTAGTGTAATTTTGCATAATCCCTTCAATTACTTCAATACTGTTTGGGCATAGTGTGAAACTTTTATCGGAAATTTCGGAGTTGATGAAAAATTGAAACTTTTTTACTTTGCAGTCATAACTGGATATTTCATACATCGTCACTCAGGACTCATGGAAATCCTCATAAAAACTTTCGATGTATTCCATTTTTTCAAATTTTTTGAGTTTTAAAATCAGCATTTTTTTTACCTGGTTCGTCTAATTAACATTGCAAATTACTGCTTCTTGGATATGAAATACTCTTAAAAGTAATACTTTTGTATATTGAGGCAATTATTTTTTAATATGAAGGGCTAAGTAATTTCATTCTTGGTATTATTTTTTATGTACAAAAAAGTTAGCATCGAATGTGATAGGAAAAGCTGCTTCAATATAGTTTATTAAACTAATTTTGGCTCTACAAATAATCTGCCAATTTTCACTACGCGATAGAATAAAAATTATTAATGTTCAAGCCCTTCTGCAGCATTTTCAATCACTTCCAAACAAAATTAATGCTCGTAAAACAACAATTAGCTCTATGAATCGGTTTAGAATACAAGCACCACTTTTTCAGTGTTTCTAATTTCTCAACGGAAGCAATAATTTCAGCACACTGATGTGGAAGTACAAATATTTCAGTAATTTATTTTAATATCGATATATTACAATTCACTTCCTAATATATTAAATTAAATTACATCTGCTATTTCCAGTTTCATATATTCGTTCACTACTTCCAGTTTTATATATACTCTCATTTCATATTATTATATTGCCAAGAATAACTAATATATCATGCAAGCGTTCTTGGTTAAAAATAACGGTAGCACTATGAATAAATAATGAGTCTCGTAGATAATAATCGTAAATAAAATCTTCCCATTTGCTCCCTTTCATTCTGCACTATTTTTCTTTAGATTTCTGCATATCATCCAGCCATACAAATAAATATTAACTAATTTCATTCTGGTATTTACCGTAGCTTATCTTCTTTTACAGTTCTAATCACTTGTGAACTGAGAAGTATGAAAATTTCTAGATCTCATATTTTGAATTGCAAAAAATCTTACTGGACTTTGAGAAAGTCATATTTTGGCACTTTATTTCTTTGATTTATGTCTCACCATCTTATTGTTTAATAATCAGTTAACATAATAAAGTTTATATGGATTCACTGTCCTGCCCAGTATTTCTGTCAAAAGTGTAATAGCCCACCTATAGTGATTAATTATGAAGAAATGATGCCGCCAGTCCAATTTTTTGGTGAAATCAATTCTACTCACTTGTGAAAGTGAATCAGCACGCTACGCAAGGCAAATTTCGTTATTATACCATTTTTATAATTGAAGTGATAAACTAATGAATTGCACCATTACTTAAACAGTTAAATTTCTTGTTATTCTCATAATTGTTTCAACTGCTCTTTCTTGCTAGTCTCATATCATACTAGATAACTTCATTAGGCAGTTCAGCATTACAAAACTGACCTCATCTTTATTAGCTGAAATAATAAGCACATAATTAAGTTTTATGAAAAATTAATCTTAAGCATTACAAAGTAATCAACCTTCAAACCTGTTCAATTTAATAAGCAAATATTTTACGTTTACTGTCACATTATTTCTATTCACACCTAAATGAACTACGTTCACTATATAAAAACTTTTCATTTTTATTACTAGTAAGATTTTATTACATTTATTTCGGGAAAACCACATATTATATCCCCATCAAGCATTTCAGTAAGTGAATATCCATATTACTACTCACAAAGCTGTCAAATAGTGACAGATTATCAGCAGAAATTACCAGATATGAAACTACTTCACATTCAGTTGGATGTCACAAATAACTCAATATAAGAAAATATTATTACATCTTGTACAATGTCTAAATAGTTTCCATATCTACTCACCCTGTCGTCTACTTGTCATTAAAATAGCTTCCCAAATTTAGTTTTTATTCGTAGTCCGAAACATGTATGTTTTGACTGGTATGATTCAATAAGTGTGTGAATTCATATAAGAAACCAAATTTGGCGTGCAAATCCTTTTATTTAGATAATAGTCGTTTTTGTAAAAAGCCATAAAATGAAATTCGGCAACGGCGTGTGAGTAAGAATAAAGAGAAACAGTAACTTTCTCTTTACTTTTTACGACGCAAATAAACTTTTGGAATGAAAAGTTTTTCAACTGGGCTAATACAAGCTGTGCTAAAAGGTTAGGAATGACTATGGGGAAAAAAATAGCTCATATTTTTATTTCATAAATGCTGCCCACTGTTGAAGTGGGAAAGATTAAATGAAAAACAACTATCGCCACTCTCAAATTTCAATTGATATATTAGGATTGAAAAGTGGTAATTTCTTACAATTCAGTCTGGTAAAATCTCTTCCACAGATATTATCTTGACTCACAACTTTTCATATCGAATATGAAATGAGTAATGATTATCGTTCGTTTTGTTCAGCCTTTCTTTTCATTCTAGCTATTTAAATTTTGATATCCTTTCACGATCCTGTCGTATCTCCAACACTTCACACATTAAACTACGTATTGATTGCTATTGTCCAAATTCTTTTTGTTCGATAAAAATTCTAACATTCGAAAACTTTAGCAAATGTATGCATACCTCCATATATGGAAGAATTGAATTTTGATATTGTAGTATGAATACATTTTCTAATTCCCTAAAAACATTTTTCTTCCAAATCATCAGAGTAATGCTAGTTATTTTATTTCCTCATTCAATACAAAACGAATCACCTCAATTGCCAAACTTACACCGACTACAGCTGTGCTCCTTCCTGATTTTTCTGAGTATTGTTAGCTTATTGTCCCCCATCCAAATCAAAATAGCTGGCAATTGATAATTGTCAGTTACTTAGATTTGGAAGATTAAACAACTAGAAAACATCTAAAATTGCAAATATTTCCTCTATCCAAATGGGCCGTGCATTGTCTGTATCCTTGTCAAAATTTGGAGAATACATAGTTTCTTCTTATGAATGAATGAATTTTCGGTTGATTGGGCATTTATTGCTCGTGTGATTGGAAGAGGAAAATCGGTAATGTGTTTGAAAATTGGAAATGAACAATTTCCCTATCATATAACAAAAATCTTTTGCAAAGGTTTGCAACACTAGCATTATTTGTAAAACATGGCGCAAAGATGATGAGTGCCAGAGACAGATATCAGCCCTTAAGAATTTCATCTAGTCAGCCGATCAACAAAATTTTCTTATATAATTTCTGTTGATTTTTTCAATCCTTCTCTAACCTTCAGCAATAATCTTTCTCGTTAAGAATGATATTCATTTATCTCTTCTATCCCTGAAATTTTATTGTTTTTTTTTCCTACTTCAAAAAGTACTGCGTGCCATTACGATGGGAAATTGAAAGTCATAAAATTTTATTTGGTGTTTTTTTTGACCATTTTCAAAAGAATTTTGCGAAGAAAACCACCAAAGGATGGATTATTTTTAATGGCATCTAAAGTAGATAATAACTAGCAAACCATTTACTACATCTTATTTCTGTTTGAAATAAAGAAACAGAATTTTTAATGAATTTTGAATTATTTTATACCTGTCGAAACAACCGCTTCTGAAGAAACTTGTATACTTATGTAGAGCACTCTTCTTTCTCAATATGTTTAAAATACCAGACCACCAGTATTCAGTTTAATTGGGTTTACATATCGTGTCATAGTTGAAAGAAGTCGTTGGTTACACAAAGCTTTCAAAACTATTTATGTTTAGTAAAAGCTATTGATGTAATTCACCTTTTCAAATCGTTTTGAAAGTTTAAAAGCAATAAAATGCATTCACTGAAAGGATATACTATGAAGTTTATTAAAACAAATACTACCAAAGGATTAACTATTATTTTATTTTTTTAACCGCTTATTTAGAACTTTATTAATCATTTACCTGAAGTTTCTATGCTTTTATCATATGTTCTTTCATTCTTTGCTTAAAGTCAATTACAAATGATTTTTGTCATTTTAAAAATAATAAATTCCTAACAATCTGAGTATGATATCAGTATCTATATAAATTTACCTTCAGTTAATTCCTTCATATTTCTAATTTATATAAATTTAATTGTGAAAGAATCTTTTGTATCACCATTCGTTGTTAATTGAGAAAGATCCAAACAAACGAACCGTAAAATGCAACAACCTTGCTCGAGGACTTGATGAAGAAGATGAAGCAGTATGAGACATAAGTAGTTATAAACAAATTCTATTCAAAATTGTAGAGTGATATGCAACTAGGAGCAAACTTCGTGAAATAGATGAAAGGAAATATAAAAGGAATAAATATTTGCTAGCAGAAAGTTCTCAGGGTGAAAGGTGCCACAGCCTTTGCCAATGTCATCGCCATTATCATTGGCACTGCTATTGCTGTCGTCGTTCTATCCATTGCCGCTTTACTTGCTTGTTGCTGTTGGCAGACACAGTTACGGACAGAACAGAATGGCAGCAACGAGTTATTTTTTGCTTCCTCCAGCAAAGTGACTAAGCTCTGCTCGTAAATTTTAGCATCAAAGAAATGATCCGGCACTCCGGAAATAATTTACGAGCTGGCAAACAGCAGCAGTAGCAACTAACTCTACCCTTCCTGCACGCCTCTGCGATTACTTCCTCTCCTTGTCATTTTCTCTTCTATCTACTTTTTTACCTTTTCCCTTTTCCTTTCATCTTTGTTTTACTGAAAAGAGTCAAATGAGATAAGATGAGAGAAGAAGAGAGACAACTCAATTCAAATTTCCTTGCGCACCTCTTAGGCCTTTTCCTCACTATGTCCGCTAAGTATTGGCTGAATTGCTAACGTTCCTCTCCACTTTAAACCAACTCTTTTCCTCTGTTTCTTCATTCCACTGTTTTAAATGAATTCGCCTTTCAATACAATACGAAACTCTACGCGCGCGACCCGTATTTGGCATTACGCTTTTCATCTAGCAGAAGTTTTGCTGTTGCAGAGTGCAAAACAAGAAGTTACGATATCATCTTCCTTTGGTATGAAGCATTCATTTTTATGGCAGCTTTTTCGCCTTCCCTCTTCATACTTGTCATTGTTATTGTTAAAAATGAATCAGCTCCAGTATTCGTCTACTACTCATGGTTCTGTCATAAATACAGTGGATCATTATACTTGAAAAATTCGAAAATAGTAAAGATTGCAAACAAACTTCATTATATAACCGTTATACTGATATCAGAAAAAGATTTATTGCTGGGACAATAGTAATGATATTTTTAGCAGTAACACAAATAATGAAGTAAAAATTTTTGATGTGCGAAACAAGTGACTTCTCAGCTAAATTAAAATTGAAATTTAGATTTTCGCTTTACTTAGCATGCCACCTTATCGTTTTTTCACTTCTAGTAGTGCATATTTCTTCAAAAATACATTTTCTTTATAATCCACCTAGTCATGCTCAAATTTCTATAATCTTATTAATTTAACTCACATTATATGTTCAAAGGAATGTTCATCATATGATAACATATTTAAATGTTTTACCGTATGCCCATCACAAAACAGACTATTATCTTGACTCATCTATGATGTCATTCATTAGTGTTGTAAGTCGAACTTTTCGTTTATATCATACTCTTCATCTAACATATTCACTTATCATATACCATGAACCTATTCGTTTTGTGTTTGTGTTAAATTATATCTGTGCGTATTGTTAAGAAAAAACTTTCGTATGAATTTTTTTGGCGAATGCTGTGCGGCATTTGGTTCTAAACAAAATCGCAAATACCCTAAATCTGTTGTTTAACTCATCAGTTCAGCCAATTACATATCTCCAAGATAAAAACTCCTTGAATATATGAACTAGTAATTTTTATTTTGAATATTCAAAGTAAAGGAATAGTTTTTCAATTGAATACAAGATTTCTTTTAATTTGTTAACTCAGCAGTCAGGAAAAACAAATATGTAATTAAATAATAGGGAAAAAGAAATTTATCAAAAAATATAATGATGATTGTGAAGGCGACAAAGATAATTAGATATGGTAGTAGTAATATGTAGTCAGTTTTACATGACGTGTTCAACTTTCGGTTAATTTCAATAGATCGTGTTTGACTGAAAAAACATGCACGAAACTTGAAATTATTTTCACCAACTGTCTGGGCTTAAAATTTGAGCTTTTTAGTCGCATGTTTTGGCAGTTCTTGAATTTAACTAAGTGCTCATTTAGACTGAAGACAATTATGTTATCCACAAAGTTCGAAAAAAATTTTTCATATTCTCTACAAGAATATTTGAAGGTGAAACAGTTCTTTACAATTCATTATATTTATTCGAAATGAAATTAGTTCTCTCATGGAAACAAGAATGGTGGTTTGATGGTCATGACAAGTATATGACGATAATTATGTTATCCACAAAGTGATTACATTTGCCATGTGCGTAGCCTTAACATTTTAAGAATAATGGTCATGATTCACGACCATCTCATCTTGCAGTTAAAGAGACAAACTATCAAAATATGATTGAAATTTGGATAAGATTTATGGTTACCACCCAAATCGTTGCTTTTTATTGTAGTTGGTAAACATTTGCCACCACTCTTGATTACACGTGAACTATTAGTTTCCGTATATCCAAACCGAATTTTTGAATTGCCGTTCGGCCTTCTTCATCTATCGAAGATTTATTTGAGGGGTTGGACTACTTCTAATTTGCCAGCATTTTGAAGGGGTATCGTTCCCAAAAGTTTATTTCTCTTTCATTTTGGAATGATGGGATTTCGGGCATCGGTTGCTCCACATCTTTCCCGTTTCTTTGTACCTAGTCGGTACTGAAAAAACAACATGATTTAGCTCCGTCATGGCTCTGTTCTTCATGGACTACCTCTTCTGCACGTCAGAGCACGAGTTAAATCAGTAAATGCTATGAAAGCAAGGAAGCAGTTCAAAGGGTTCTGTAAGCGTAATATCGATCAAGGTGAAGGGGTATTTCGATTGTCAGTGAGCTTAATATCACCACAGCTCAATAATCACAGTTCCAAACACGTAAGTTTTTTCCTGTACCTTAAATCACTGACTTTTTGGGACGTAGACTGAGACAGTAGCATATGTAAACTTGGTACTCAGAAATATAGCAGTGCACAACATGAATTTTTTATATTGCTCTACAAGCATTCATTTTTTTTCTCGCGGGGCACAGTGTTTCATTTAATAATCACTATGCATATCTGTAGAGAGCACTACTCTCTACATTCTTAGCATGCTGTTTGATACCATGCAAATATGTTATACTTTGCATTTCACCATGTTGAAGATGCCTTTATTCTGATTTGGCATGAAAACAGTCAGTCTGTCATTTCTTATGTTAACCATTTTTCCAAATTTATTGCAAAGTTCTGTCAGACAAGAAAAGGGGATGAAACTAGAATTCCAGAAGTGATTCATGCGATAACTGTCTTTTTTCCTGTGATGAAAATCTCAATAATTCTCGTTCAAAAAGATGTCTACAAAATTTCTATGTTCAGTTGAGAAAGCAAATCATCATCTTCCAAAAATCTGCTGTCACAAAATATGTAACCTTCCAACTTTCGTTTTAAAATTATAACGAAGTCAATGTTTCCAGTATTCTGTTTTAGTTAAGCGCGCAATTTGTATGGACTTCAATTTGAAACCCAAAAATAATCTGGGCCTATCATCACTTTAAGTATTTGATTCAATTATTAGTATGCAAGATATGAGAACAGGATAGTACTATGTTATTTCTCAGATTTGTGTCTTTTTTCGATCTTATTTAATTAAGCTTTGGTGAGTTATGATCAATTTTTACTATGGATCTGATTGGTACTTTTACCCAGAATTCACGACATGCAGAAATGATAGTTGTGTGCAGATAATTATAATCATTTCCTATATATTATCTTTATATTTGGACCTCTGTGATTCAAAAATTTTTCAATACTCAGCTATCACAATATCAGCATTTACTTGGAAAATGCATGTTTAAGAATTTTTAACAAAATGTAATGAGTAATCAGTATCTCGGTTTCACTTTAACTTGCTTTTCGTTTATTATTCTGTACCAAACAAAGGTTCAACTAACTCTTGGAATATATTTCCAACACTATATTTATCTGGTGACCAAGATTAATCAAGAAAAGCGCTGGAGTGATAACTGTTAAGAAGGGAGATGAAGCAAGTTGCATTTTACCCCATTTTTCTTTAGATTTTTAAAATGGAGATATGATATCAACCTTGAAATAAATGGCCTTTAAAAGAATTATTATTTATGGCATTTAAATGAATATATACACCGTTACTTGGTAATAAATTAATGGTGTGATCCATCTCTACCGCAATGCGATCGTTAAAAACGATATAAACCTGCATTGTACATTATAACTCCTATTTCCCAAGTTTTTAATCCAAATTTCACGGAAGTAAGAAATTGTGTAAAAAATGTAAGAAATTAATATGTAAAAAATTAGCCATCTAAAGGTAAACAATTGATACTTGAGGTCCGTGCTGTATACTTGATAATGATAAATTTTCACCTAAAAATTCGAGACAAGTAAAAATCAGTTCTCATGAACTACTGCTTTAGTTGTCATCCGATGATAAATCACCGATTATTACTCTATCAAAATTTTAATCCTGTCTAGATTACATATCTTTACAAGGGCCGTTCATAAGAATCAGTGAGTTTTTAATATTTGAACTTTTTTGGATCAAAAGTTACTTTGTGTTTCTAACTTTAGACTTTACTGTAGTTTTGTATTTTATTCTCAAGCCATGAAGTTCATTATTCTTTCCTTTCCTACTTTCTACTAAACTGAAATTTGATTTCCTGTTCTTCCATTTTAGCATAATTTCATAGTAGTCTACTACAAGCATAAAAACTGAACTTGAAAACGTTCGAGTTGTCATTCCTTTAAAAGCTTGCTCGTCTACCCTGTGGTACCGAGCTGTGTCTGAGTAATAAGCAAACACAATCGATCACTGGGTGAATGATCTTGCTTTAACCCTTCATGATGGCCACAAGCTTGTCTTGACTTTTTCATTTATTTCTCTTTACTTTGCTCTCACGTATCTGTGCTTTTTATCAGTTATTAGTCGTACCGGACTGGCTATAAAACTTTATCAACAGTTAAATTAGCAAGCACTTATCAGATTTAAAAATTTAATTCCATCGTACTAATCCATGCAAACTACCGTATGAATCGTTTCGCGTTAATTATTTTCATCAATTCCTTGTCTTCACATTTCTGCTACAGTAAACACCAGCGCTGTGGGGTGCCTGCCATCTCCTGTTTGCTATTTCATTACAATTCCAAATATGCAAATACGAATATTGGCAGTGCTCAAACAGCACTTTCAAATTTTGGTGGCTTAGAAATTTGCAAATATTCAAACATGATAGATTTGAAAAATGATATTTGTCCGACGTAATAGACGAGTAAAAAATTTTCAGTGATGTTCATTTCAAGCTATTTTGAAGAAATCTGAGATACGAATTATGAAGCATCACTAGATGCAGAAACAAACTGTTTAGAATCAGGATCTCAAGCAAATGTTTGTAAAATAAAGTAAGTTATCTACTTCAAGTTTGAAAGCAGTCATTCACCTGAACTACAGTTTATTTTTTCGTATTTCGGTGTTTGTGAAATGTCAGAGCATTTGACTACAGAGTTATGCTTCAGAAAATTATGCCAAAAAGTAAGTGAGCAGTCTTATGGCCTTTGTCTAAATTATTTTTGGTTATCGTCATAGAGGGAAGAAATAAAAGTGTTGATAACATGTTTAGTAACTAGTTGTTATTATTATTGCCGTTGTTGTTTGTGAAATGTCATCAACAAACACCTTGAAATTTTTTAGATAAAAGTGTTTTGCTATTATATTTGTTTAGCAATATATATATATATATATATATATATATAT